TAGTCAAAAGTCAATCAATTAGACCATGACATACAGGTGTGCATGGCAAAGTATTTGCTAATAAGGTGAAAGCCCACAATATGGAGAATGGGCGTTTAATAATGGGAACTACTTGTTCAAACAGAGCGTAAAATGTGCTGCCAATTAAACTAGTTAATGACAACGACTAAAGTAGCCACGTTTCAGTCACCATTTCGGAACTGTGTTGCCATTTTGTGAGTTCCCAGTTCCACTTGACTTTTAAATGGCTTTCAGGCCGAGGTGGAGCCAGAGCAACCACTGATAAATGTTCCATGCATGACGGGGCGAGTGGGTTTTTTTGTTTTTGTGTTACAGTGTTGTCATCGCAAGTGTTGAAAAGCATTCAAATATGGCCGCCAGTGGGAAATGGATCGCACAGCGTGACCGGCACATATTTGGCGCTATAATTTGGTAATTACGTGTAGCCAGTACGTCAGTACGTCAGTCCGTCAGCCAGTCAGCCAGTCGAACCACCCGACCGCCTTGGCATATGTACGTATGCTGGCGGTGCTGCTGTTGGTTCTGCCAATTAGGCGACATGGCCCTCAATTTGCTGGTTATGATTTCCGCGAATGCCGTCGCCGTTGCCGTTGCCGTCGCTGAAAGATGCCGCAAATTCAGGCCCGCTAAACTCATTACAAAACAATAAACAAATTTCCAGACATGGGCCTGAGCACACTGAAAACAAAGGCCGTGTGGATCGTGCCGACGGCTGTCGGCATTGGCGCTGTGTCTGCCATGTCCCGACATCGCTGATAAGCGAAACAATTGCGCAGAAGCCGCCACAGTGAGCCAGACGCGGCTCTGGTGGTGCCTGGGATCGGGGATCTGGGATCTGGGATGTGTGCCTCGGCCGGGTGCTGTCCTCGGCCAACTTGAACGCCAAGTTGAACACTTTAGCGCGCCTAAATGTCGACAAAAGCCGCCAACGACGCCTCCTGCGCTGCTGCCCATTGTTTCCCGAGCGGGCAAGGCACTCGCACAACGTGATATTTTGACGTTTATCACGATTTCTGGAATGACTGTGGCTGTGGCTGTGGCTGTGCCTCTGACTCTCTCATCTCACGCGACGTCGTCGCTGCGTGAAGTTAGCAAATTCTGGATTGAGCCACAATTTGAATATTGATTTGGTTCGGGATATGAGCTGGCTACTGTGCGAGAGATGCTGCCGAGATTTGCAGCAGCCGGCGGGGCACATCTATGCCATAATTATAATGATTAAGTGGGCACCAAGAGATGAGCCGGCATCACCTGCAGGAAACTGCTTTTAGCTTGCGACAAGCTGAGCCCATTACAAAATCAATATTGACATTGCAAATTGAACGCTGGCTGCTGCAAAAGGATAACGCAGCCAACAGGATATTTAGCTCAGGGCAACAGCAGCAGCAGCTTAGCCCAGCTCAAAGTAAACAAAAACAAATGGAAGAAGGACTTAAACAGAGAGGGAGAGAGACAGCATCAGCTGCGCCCTTTCTCAGGCGATTGTGTCGCATTGTGTTTTGTATCTTGTTAGCGTCGAACGCCTAGCTAAACGAAACACAACAAACAACAGCGCACAGCTCGCTGGAACTTGTCAGTTTGACACTTCATAAATGCAGCCACGCAGTGGTGCGTCTAGCCTGCCACCGATGCGATGCGTGTGCCCCGCCGAACTTGACAAACAATTGCCACAGCCGTGATCCAGTTTTTTATGCTGCGCCGTTTGCCTGACATTTGTTACATTTGACAGCTAACAACGCCGGCTACAAGATGCCGCAGCAGCAGCAGCAGCAGCAGCAGCAGCAGCAGCAGCATCAATTGCAACTGCAACTGCAACTGCCACAGGCCATTGCAATGGGCAACGACAACAACTGCTCCTAAGACTATAATTGATAGTGTGCGCCGCACAATGGCTACTTAATTATTTTTTCATAGACTGTCCCCAGTCATCGATCTGGATGCAATGTTTCTTTGAATGAACTGCGCGGGTTGCTCGTTGACTTGTCTTCGCTTTGTTGTACCTCGTATTGATACCTTTATAAAGAGTATGGAAGATTTTTCACAAGATGTGTAATGGCAAATATTTGTGATTGGAAAAGGAAGATACTTATTGGATAGAAATCTAGAAGTCAATTT